AATCATTCTTCTCTTCCCTCTGTCTCGTATACAGTAGTGAAAAAGTCGGAAGGCAAGTTTGCCCATTTCCGCTTAGCGTTAAGTAATTGAGTCGGAAAATTAAGCTCAACAAAGAAAGATGATTTTAATTGAAAAGATTCGCGTTTGTTTTCTTACAACGATCTTATTTAATTAAGTCAGCGAATCACATAGTATTTACCTGTTTTAATTTTTTTTTAAATTGTACACTTTCATGCGTATTCAATATACTGTTTGCCACGCTTCCATTCATTTCACCTGCTACATCTGTTGAACGATGCCACAACATCGCAGCTATGCGAAGATAAACAAAAGCGATGACAGACAGAGGAACAAAATATGTTTGTAGGAAATTGAAAATTGTACGTTGAACTTCAACGGGTGGTGCACCTTTATTCGGCACGCATTGAATTGTATCCACGATTTTGTACTGAAAATCCAACCGTATTGAAGACGTATCAGATAAATATGTACCATTGATCTTGAGATAATTGATAAAGCTGGCTAGCGAAGTTCGAGATGTAACCCATAGACGTTTCTCTTCCACGGGATTCGATCTTGCCGGTGATTTGATAATCGCTAGAGCGATGCTTAGAATCCAGATGATGGTTAATGCAATGACATTTCGTTTGGATCCCGAGTAAATTTTCATTGTTAACGGATATCTCACAGCACAATAACGATCGATAGCGATAATTATCAAGGTTACCAAGACACCGGTCACTGAGAAGGTTTTGAAGAGATCGAGAACAATGCATAATTCGCGAGCATACAACCAACGTTGAAAAATCACCGATGTTATTGTAAATGGAATACAATACGCCGTCATAATTATATTGAAAACGGATAGATTGAGCAAAAACGGGGACAGATCGGATCGCGAGCGACGCCCAAACAGAAAAATGATCATGGCAATAAAATTTGTGAAAAATGAAAAGACAATCATGATACCATAAATGATTAAAATAATCGCCTCATATGTATACAAATCTGCGAAGGTTAGATAAGTTAATGGATAAGACGAATAAGCTTCTAAGAATTGCGTTGTATCGTTATAGGTCATATTGAGTGGTGGATTTGATCTTAAATTAATTAAATCTAGAAATCAGATAAAAACAAAAAGAAGAGAGTGAGTCGTATTATTTTATATCGCGCATATTCACATCGGTTCTTTCTACTTTCTTCTTTTCCTCTTCTTTGGCAAAACACCAATGATATCTATAGCAAAGATTTTCTTTGATAATAAAAGTTTTTATAATAAAGTATGACAGGTCAATGTACTGCATAAAGAAGTTTACTGAAGAATAGTAATCTCTTTTGATAGAAGAAAACAGGGCAAGTATCATTTTTCTCTAGACAAAATCTATTTAGAAACGAACAAGAAATAACAAAATTAAAAAATAATTATCTTAGGAAAACTTCTTGCAGTTTGTTTTTTCCTCTCGAGGTATATTACTCTCGAAAGAGAAAGAAAAGAGAGAAAGCGAAACGCAACACAACGAGGTTGGTTGTATATTTCCACGTCAATGGCATGTCTGTAACTTATCATCATGATCGTACTTGTGCTTACTAGCATTGCAGAAGTGAAGTATGACGGACGAGATTCTCTTGATGAAAATCGAACACGTTCTATGAGACTATTCAATAATACTTAAGTATATCTGTTTAGAAGCTGACAAACGATTTATTTGTTCATGTTTCAAAAGAACATCGACGTTCGTGTTTCTAATTCAATAGAGCTCTCCAATTCTTTGCGAACGATTATCTGGTATAGTGTACAAAGAAAAACGAGCAAGATTTGCTTTCCGCCAATACGTGAATCTCTTTGGAATTGCAGTTTGTTGATTCTTATCTGTTGGAAATTCTTCTTCTGCAAACACATTCAACTAACAAGTCCATCCATCATGTTTTTTACTGAATGAATAAACATTCATACTCAACACATTGACGTCATAGACCCAAAAATAATATTTTTGTCTGTAAAGGTTATTAACAAGTGTCCGAAGAAAACTCGAATAACTATGAAATAAAACTTTAATTAACAAATCTCATTGCATGATCACAAAGGAAATTTGTTGGTAAACATTTTTTTATTAAATAGAATTAATCGTGTGTGTGTGTGCGTATTAGATTCAGTGAATGAGGTTAACTTCTCCAAATTCAAGAATAAGAAACGTTTCTATTCAGAATTCTTCAGTAAGCATACGCACAAAGTGATATTATATTATAATCAATCTTCAACGTGCAAGTATAACCTTACATTGTTCACTCAATCGACTATACATTATCAAATTGTCATGCAATAGACACCTAGGAAGTCTTTTAGTTCGAGTTCACGTGTGGAAGATCACAGGTGGGCTATCCTTTTCAGAATGATTACATCGTGAAATGTCATGAACTGATCACGACGTAGTGGTAATGGTTGTTAACCTATATTAGTTTTCGACTTTCCTAACCAGAAAATATGCTCGACTTCTTTTCTCAACTAATTGTTTATATTCACAGAAAAATATCGAGACGAAACAATAAACTTTTGATTTCCCATGTCGAAATCATCTTTAAACATTTATTGCTTGCGTGATCATCGATATTCTATGATGATTTATTTGAAATAAACGTGAATTACGCAAAGATATTTTTCCACTAAATACAAAAAGGTCTACTTAACTTAACCTGAACATTTTCCAGCATGATTACTTAGAAGATTCTATGTCTATATTGACATTACTATTTGTCGTGGGACGCAATACACTTCATTGTTATGTAAACGAAAAAAAAAACATTTCTTTTCAGAAGGAACCGATCACCAAGGCAATATATAATCGTGGATAGGGGAAAAACTAATTTATATCGTAGCAGGCTGTTCCTTATGAAAAGAAACAGTCATTCTTTTCTTCTTTTCTGTCGTACATCAATGTCATGCATATTAAATACAATTCTGACGCAGTCTGTTCCCTTGTAGTTAAAATTATCCGACCCAAAACACGAAAACATCGCCTTATCTTCATATATATGAATTATTTAATTATTGTCGGTACATCAAACAAAGAAAAAACATATGTGTATATGAATTGTAAACGCGATAGCTCCACGTGTCTATCTCAAAACTGGATGTACGTACTGATAGAGTCATGAGTTCATTAGAAACTTATTCTAAGTTACTTTGACATACACATGATAGGCATCATCGATGAAAGTTAATATATGAAGGCTGAAAACAGACGGATGTATATAGTACTGATCTAAGTATGCAAAACTTACTTGAGACATAGTTGCAATACTGTCGGTGGATATTGCGCTTCATATATAAAATATGATCCAGCTGCCTGTCTAAAGAAAAGTACTTTGGACACCTTTTTTACTCGAAGTGAAAATAGACGTGATGTTTGTGATGTCTAAAAGCATTGTTTAGTCGCAGTTGCACGCATCTCAGTAGTCCTTTTCAGATCTCCCTCTACGATTGAAATCGAGGCATCACCTGCTATAGCTTTTGGTTCTCTAAACTATATTCAGAGTGTCATTTTTAGGTCACAAGAAAAATAAATGCCGATCAACGATGTAGAAATGTGCCATTTTCTCGTTAGTGCTATTCAAACTGTTGCGCGCATGTGCATTGAACTGAATCGGTAGATGAAAAAGTCAAAATTTGATCGATACGTCCATTCGAAGAGAAAATAGGAAAAAATCTGACAGATGTCAAACTCTGTGAAAAACAATGAAAAGCAAACTATGACAAAAAAAGAGTAACAGCCTGGACTAATGATAATAAATTCGGGCGTTTAGCCTGAAATATGACTTTTTTGTTTTGTTTTGTTTTGTTTTGTATAACTTCACTGGAGCTATCTATAATGACATTGTGAGTGTCAAGTACTTTATTTGGTGTCTTGCACGAGTGAGTACTCTTGTTTGTGTTTTAATATGTTACATTCACGAAAACAATATCTATCATTTTTTTCTAATATCGAGGGTATACGACAAAATTAGGTAGTTTCATCATTGAATTGGAATTATAAGTACAAGAACTGATTTTTCTAAGGGGTTCTATCCTCAGTCGCATATGAAGAAAAACAATTACTTACTATGTTGTCACGTCAACACTCGACTTGATTGGAAAAGCAAGATTAACTATGAGATAGATTAGTAGTAACGAATATAGACTATAAAAGCGACATTCTATTTCTTTCTTTGCGCATAAACAAATAGATCAATTAGAAGAAGTTGATGGGTATTGGAGGTACCATATTCTAACCGCTAAAGACTCGGTAAGAAACAAAGGAACGGAAGAAACCATTATTATGGAAAAGGCATCCATTAATGACATTCGAATCAAGAGTGTAGCTGCTTCTCGGCTTAGAGAAGACAAAAAAAACCTACGAGTGTCAACTGCATTACCTTATTATAATGTTTAATTAATATCTGGAAAACTCTTCAGACACATAGTTCGAACGCATATTTTTCAATTATATAGTAGATGATAAAGGCTTTCATATGCTAGATTTTACGTTTTTCCTGAAATAATTCCTTTCAATTATGTGGAATTTATCGTGAATACTCAGTTTGTATTGTAATCAAAGGAAAAGGATCTTGGGCAAATGTGAAACACTATTGTGACTTTACTAATCATGATCAAAAACTAAATAGGAACAATTACTGTCGGATATAATTTCGAAGATGATGACGTCAATATACTAGCAGTGCGATCAAGATAATTAAAGTCAGATGTCACTAGCAATCATTGAAATTTTGAGAGTTGTCGCTTCTCTTACAACTGTACTCATTCTTGAAAGAGGATATAGCTAGGGATGTGAATTGAAAATGAAACGAAATATGGTTATAGAAGAAGAAGAATGAGAACAAGAAATTTGCTGCCAATGTAAAATAAAATACACAACCAAACATCTGAACATGAGTTTTTCTTTCTCTTTGAGAGCTCTTAGGATTTTGTTATAAACCATCACAAATAGTTTTCTGTTTGTCTACAGATGCAAACCATTACACCAGTAGATTTGCATATTGATAATGATTGGCGTGATGGTGGCATGAACGGATCAACTGTAAGAAAATCCTCCTCAGCAACTAATCGTGGAGGACGTCAAGCCTTGCGAATGCGTACCTGTGTTATGAGTAAAGTCAAACCAAACAAGACAAAATCTGCTCAAGTGACATCAGAAGTTACACAATCGAAATCCAATCTACCCGTTCGTTCCCGAAGTCCATCGCCAACTCGAGAGCCATGGTAAGAAAAGATCGCAGCAAAGAAAAGGCTTTATAAACTGTATATAATTACTATTATTCAAGGGTCCCACCACCAGGCCGTACAACAAAAGGGCAAAAATTTGCTCCCCAAGTAATTTATATTCTTACTGCAGGAAAATGATCTTATTTCCTCTTATAGAGTGCTAAAACACGTTTAGAAACTCCAACGAATCAATTTGATATCGTTTCCGACGATGTGACAGACGAAGATGGTCAACATAATGATCGCCAATCGATGTCGAACAACAGTCCACTCCAAGCTGAAATTCAAACGTACGAAAAACGTATTCAAGGATTAGTAGAAGGTGTTGAAATACTTAAAGAACGAGTAAATAGAAATCTTCGACACCTTTCGCTAATTGAATGTATTCATCCAGGTATATAATCGTCTAAATTCCGATCAACTTCGTTCAGATATTGTTTCATCATTACGTGACCTTGAACAGTCTCAACAAGCATCTTTTCAAACAACACTTAATAAACTACCATTACGATCTTCTCGCTCTTCGCCACCCTCACGTCATAATTATCGTTCGTCAAGTGCTGGTGAACAACGAAAGCATCAAATGTTACCTCGAGTTTCGTTCGAACATGACTTACCTCACGAACGGTACAGATTTTCACAATAAATCCTTTTCTCTGTCGAAACAAATTATCTTTAGACGACGAGCTCGTAGCACAACACCTGTTCGCGGTCCGCTCTATCTAAATCCAAACCGTGAACGCTTATTAATATCTCTATCTCAATCCGAAGCGGACATTGCTCAAATAATCAAACAATTATCATCGGTCAAAGATATTCTCACGAAACTGAAATTGGTAAGTCTAATTTATCGGTTTTTTATTACAACATTTAAATCAGAGTCTTTTATTAGTTTCTATTTGACTAAGATAGAATGTCACATCTTTTGTTACTTCATACATATTCATACCGAAGCAAACATTAATATAAAAAAAAAAGAAGAAGACGAAAGGCATTGTTCTTCTCTTTCGTCATACATCTCGATAATGAAATCACAATCGAGATGTTTTACATTTTCTTTTTGATTAGATCGCATAGCGATAAAGACAATATTTCGCGTATTGTTACATTTAAATCAAGTGTTTGAGACAGCCATCTTAAGTCATACAATTGCAACAAACTTGACATCCTGATGACGACACACGTACGAAATTGAAACAGAGAATAGTTAAAAGAACTCTTTCTCTCTTTACTTTTAATTTCATATGGATGGTTTCTGTTTGCTTAGAATGAAGCCATTTTGTGCCATATTCTTCTCTATCTGTGTAATTTTTTAGGACAACCATCCCGTTTCGTTCGAAGTTGAACAATTGTATCAACAGCGAAATCAATTACTACATTTAATCGAACAATTTGAACACTCAAATAGGAAATTAAAAGAATTCCTTCAACATCAATATCATTTAGAAGCTGAAGACGGTGTCGCGAATGAGAAAACTGATGGTATAAACACACGTTTACATGAACTGGAACATGAAAATGTACAAATACGACGATTACTACTCGACCGAGAAAATGACAATATTGCATTACAGAATGAACTGGAACGTGAGAGAGCACATGCAATTGGTTATGATACAATGAAAACATCGTTAGAACATAATCGAGCTCATTTACAACGGGAATTGTGCGCGAAAGAAGGTGAAATCAATCGACTGCAATGTATTATACGGGTAGATTTTCTAGAAATGTTCTTTTTCCAGAGATCTTGTTCGATTTTTAGTCTTTGGAACGTAATCGGTCTCAATGCGATACTCACCGAAGTAGCGTTAAGCGTACGCCATCGACGCCTTTGCCATCTTGTTCATCTTTGCCAAGTCTCGTGGCTAAAACCAAAGCGAATACTATTGAAAAATTACAAGCTGAGCTGAATGATCGTGATCGTCACATCATCGAACTAGAAAAGAAAATGTACGGGAACAAAAACGAACAACTTGTCGATGCCAACACAGAAATCGTTCGACTACGAACAAAACTTGAACATACTGAACGTTTAGTTGCTGAATACAAAGAACAGTTACATAATCAAACATTAAAAACATCCATTAACAATAGTAAAAGTCATTTGTCTGAAATTGAATTAGACAAACTACGTTATCGATTGCAAAAACGCATCGAAGAACTTGAACCTCTACCTGAATTGTTACGTCAAGCTGAATTGAAGAATCAAGATTTACAGGCACGTTTATCTGAACAAACAACATATATGAGCGAACTCAAAGCCAAAGTATGTTGCGGAAAGTTGATGCAAAAGATCGAACTCGTTGTTTTTATTTCTCTAGTCGAATGTTCAAAATCATATACTCGATCGATTGAAAGACGATCATTTTTCGCCTAAAAACGAGTCTCTTCAACGGTAATGGATGATGCTAAGAATGATCTATGAAAGGATCAATGCGATTTTTATTTAGTCATTTGAATGTATTGGAAGAAGATAATGCAACTTTGCTCAGAAATCTCAATGCTAAAGAAGACGCCTTGAGAAATACTCAGGTAGGATGGAAAAACGAAATGAATGCGAAGAAAATTTTCTACATATTGGCTTATTTAGGCTCGTCTCAATGCTAAAACACATGAATTATCATCAATGAGTAAACAAATTGACGTCACCCAATCTGATCTGAAAACTCGAGAAGATGCATTTAATTCTAAAGTGAGCATTTGAAATGTAAATTTCATTGATCCATGAATCGTTCTAGGAACGTGCTCTTCAACAACGCATCAACGAACTTGAACAACAAATATCCAAACTTCGACTTGATTGTACTCAGATCAAACGAGACAAAGATGATGCTGAACGACGTTATACATCTCAATTGAGTGAACTACGTGATAAACTTGAACAATCAAATAATAATAATCGTTCCATACAAAGTTACGTGGATTCCTTGAAAACAACGTATGCTACTGTGTTCAACGATAACTTTCCAGCGTCCTTAACAGGAACTCCTTTCTCACGATATACCTCAACACCTAGTGTATTCCCATGAAAAATATGTATATGCGATTCTCAACGATGTTTACTCCGGATCTGTTTCTGCATACATAATGAAATAAAATAGGAAATTCAGACAGTTAACATATGTGTATGTGTAAGTTTATTTGTGATCGAATATTTCGTGTTCGTTTTTCTTTTTTTCGTTTCTATGTATTCATTTTATAGGATGTAGTCAGGATCTTTTTTTTATTTGTCATAGAGTAGATTGTTTGAACAAGTATACATAGCTTTTTCACAATAATATACGATAAAACTAACTTTTTATAATTCAGCTTCTTTCTACGTCACTAAATAGCCTCTACATGATTTTTTGCCTAGTCATCCTGACTGAAATTGATAGATCTATCCAGCGTGTCCGCTCTGTATATATCTCATATTTGTTCTTAGTCAATCGAGCCGAATCAATTAAGAATGAATGTCAGGTAATTCTAACTAATCTCGTGCTTCGTTACTTTCTTTCAGAAAAGAATCCTGTCGCAAATAGGTTAAGCTACTTGTAAACGTATCCGATTAGTGATTTGGCCTTGCTTTTAATAGCAGCAATGCAATTACCGGTACAATCGAAAATGATTACGAAACCTCGAATAGGTCAAAGTACTTGTAAACACTCGAGAATCGAAATATAAAAGTAACTTTTATTTGTCAGCTTCATATTTAATCAGCTGTTTTGCTTCTCATAGCGGTATGTATCAGTACAAAAACAGCATATTTCATCATTCTGGACGCCTGATTTACCTGAAACTACAAAGTCTATATGATCCACAATCATGCTATATACCATTTTCTTTATTTTACTTGTTAATCTATTGGAAATTCCATTTTCAACAGCTGCATGCTATGGACCTTATGTAACTGCGTCAAGTATTGAAGCATTACATGAAGATATACATCTCATTCAACCATTGCCTGTTGATTGTGGTAGATTATCGTGCGACTTCTATTTAAGTTCAAGCTCAGCGTTAGGTTCACATGGACCATTAAGGTAATTTGATGACGATTGTCAGAAATCTAATCTCTTTGACGAATTTAGTGCATATGGTCCACTTGGAATGGTTGGACCTGTTGGTCATAACATATGGAATCCAACAGCATGGCGACCAGACTCAGCGCACATAATCGAGTGGATGACTTCTAACATGTTATTTGGTCTTGAGAACAATCCACTATCATCAGCAGGTCCTCTATCATCAGAGTCGTATCATGAAACACTTCCATCGATAAATGACTTCGGTAAACATTTACAGGCATTGGGATTATGGGGAGTTTTAGGACCACTTGGACCTCTTGGTGCTCTTGGCCCACTAGGCCCTCTCGGACCCACTGGACCATATAATACAATGAATTTGGAAGGACATCATAGTGTTCCGGTACACTTGACTGCTACTGAACTTCATAATTTTGATTTAGTTGAAGTTCTTGACGAATCACGTGTTCACGAATCATTAGATTGCTCATTTATGATTTTGGGTACAATTAGCTTTCATCGTGAAACGGATAGCTATTTCTTCAATTGTGCTCCCAATCAATTTGTGACGATTGTTCTTGTGCCTGAACATAGTCTTGATTATTTCAATATGTCTCTTTATTCTAATAGTAGTTCTTCTGAACATGTTGCATCAAGTGATTCAATGAAGTACATTAATTTTATTCAATTGGGTTTGATGAAAAATACCGACGGATCGTTTCGTATTGATGTCAGTTTACATGAAATGCATCAGTTTATTTTGGCACACTCGTATCGATTGATTGTCACTGGCTCACACGACTTACTTGATTTGGACAAAGAAGAAAATAACATCCGAGGACCGCATATTATCAGTTGTTCTAAAGATGAAATCTAAATTATTTTTTATGTGAAACAAAATAAAGTCTATCGAAAAACGATCATAAATCAAATGTGAAATCTATAGACATCATTAGTACATTGGAACGAGTCTATAATGCGACAATTGACTCGAAGAAATTTATTATTTGCAAATAGAAACTAATTACACAGATATGGTCAAAGTCTTTTTCTTTGTCTACTTATGCTTCTTATGACCTTGCGGTGGATGACAACCATGTGATCCACCAATAATACCGTCTCCGTTGATGTCAATATGGGTTGCTCGTTCGATTTTACCAACTAATCCTGTATAGAAAAGAGATGGTTTAGTGAATGTTAATTGGGATTAAATATTATATTTTGTTTACCTCCGCCAGCTGGTGGTCGATGAGCACCGACAATTCCATCGCGATTGAAATCGATATGAGTTTTCTTTTCAATGCTATCCGTCAAACCAGGGCCACCTATTCGGCCATCTCTATTTAAATCTAAACCAACCTTCTCTTCGATTTTATTCACAATAAAACCTGTAAGAAATCTCAATGTCAATGATCCGTTTATTTGAAATTCTCACTACTTACTCATCTTGTCTTTTGATGTTCGAATTGACTGTGTGTATGTTTCGTGAAGATCGTTTCTCCTCACGTTTTATACTCCGACGTAACTAGTAAGTTACGTCGTTGTATTGAATGAATAAATCATTCGTCATTATACAGAAAGCGAGAAAGAGATAATCCATGAATCATATAGATCGATCGAAGCGAGGCAAACAAATCGAACGACGTAAAAGCAAAGACGCACATGCTATTTTAATCCTAGAGTCGACTGATTTCATTTTTCTGATTTTTCAATATCATCTTTTTTTTTTCTTCAATAAAAACAACAAATCACATATTAAAAAACTGTCAAATCGACCATACTTTGGAAGGTTTTCATGTGCATATGTATATAAGAAAAGAATAAAAACATACAACACTTATCAATAAGAGACAGGCAAAGAAAAAGCAACAAACGGTGAGAAGAAAATTCAGAAAAAAATGCGGATAAATTACTTCGTTGCCTCATTCTTCATAAAAATGGTTCATCAGGAGCATTGCAATCTTTCAATAAAAGACATATCTGAGAAAACTTTGCTTTCTGTTTCACATTTAATCCAAACGACGTAGATTCTTCAGAGCACATTTTGCTGCTGCATTCTTTGCGATACGATAATTTCGTCCGACGCCTTTAAAACGTCCCTTACTGATAATTTCCACGGTTACACGTATTCGACCGTCAAGTAATCGTTCAGGCTTTTCGAATTTAACGGTTTCCGGTTCTAATTCGAGCAATTCACGTATCGGTGACTTCGGAACTTTCGTCGTAAACTTTTCTATGAAAGGTTTTAACATTCGATAGTAGATCTTCCATACTGTATTGAATGATTTATTCGAATCGAGAAAAATGGCACCGGCAACTGATTCAAATATATCACCAAGACATTTGGGCACTTCTGTTTCTTCCCATTCGTCAGGCTCATTGATTGTCGTGTCATCGTCTTGTTCTTCATGGGAATTCGATAGATGTTCATCATCTATGGATGACGATGCCATAGCATGACTGTACGTATCTTTGTTATTCGATGCGGACGATGTTAAGAAATCGTAATAAAAGAACTCATCATTCTCGTCATCGTCGTCACCTAAATTGCATTCATCGAAGCCACACCATGATGACTTGTCCTTTTGTGCTTGAACAAACTTATCGATTAATGAAAATAGTTCATTGGAATGGCAACGGAAGTATTTATGAAAGTCATATTTAACGGCGATATACGCAAAGATGTTATTATTGACTAGCGCGGAACGAAGATCAGTTAATTCACCGGGTGAGTGTCGTTTAGGATGCTAGACATGGAAAAACAACGTGTCACTCGTTCAATCAGTAGAGCAACACACTTACTTCGTATAAATAACGAGTTATGACATAGTCAAGAACAGCGTCACCAAGAAATTCTAAACGTTGATAACAATCTGTAATCATGTTGTAAGAATAGGATGCATGAGTGAAGGCTTGAATGAGATAAGCACGCTGATGAAAGCGGTAGCCAATTAGCTTTTCGAATCGATCAAAGTCATACGATTGAATGGTCGATAGAACCGATGGGTTAGTGTAATCGACTGGTGAGGGTAATGGGGGAAGTTCACCGGTCATTTCCGTTCCATCCTCTGAAAAAAGATGATGGTCTCAGTGTTTCGTAAAGAATATGTCAGTACAAACCGAGACGAAGCCTAGGAAATATTCGAACACCAAGCCATGCCATAAATCGCAAAGCTGCCTTCGGACCACTGGCGATAAGATAAGCACCAATCAATGCTTCAACTGCATCAGCAATACTTTTATCTGAGATTAAATGCTGAGTGCGTCGGTCATACGATGGCGTCCATTGTTGTTCATTAATTGATGTTGTTGTTGGAAATATCGGTTTCGTCAGATTATTTAAAATTGTATTGAATGGCGTAGGAGCAACTGGCGATGATGATGATGATGATTGCGGATTTAATTTCGCTAATCTTCGTTGTTCACGGCGTTCTTGTAGTTCAATCCAGTCGACATTTGTTGTTGATTCAGACTTTGTCCATAATTCTACGCCTGAACTTGATAGCAAGCCATACTCAGTTGGTGATCCTGATGTAAACAGAGGCCTGGCAAAAGAATATGAATAGAAAAGGTGAAATTCCTTCGAAAAAATACACTTACGGAACCCAGTTTTCGAACGGTTCAAATTTTGTACTGATGAGGTATTCACCGATTCCTTTTCGTTTACCGAGTTTGTATAAATTGTAATTGGAAACGATTTTCGAACGAAAGAAACTTAGTTTGCCTTCATGAACTTGTGTATACGTGCAATAGATATAGACTGTGACTGCCTGTTTGAGAAACGAATCTCCAACGGTTTCCAAACGTTCAAGGTCGAATCCATCACCTGCATTCGATAATGTCAGCGCTTGTAAGAGTAAAGCTGGCGATGGACCAGGATGAGATTCAGGGAGATATTCAAAATCTAGATTGATATTCAATGGCTCCGAGAAATCGTCGATAATACCACTATCGTATCCATTCTCGACGAAAATAATCTCTGATTGGGCTGATGGAAGAGCTATTGATGATTGAACTGGTTCATGTCGTTGCTGCTGCTGTTGCAATGGTGGTGGCGGTTCCTCATTCTCATCGTCATGTATAACCTCTTCGATGTTAAGTAGTCGTTTGACGAATGGCGTAGGTTCAAAATGAATCACCGAAGACGAAAAAGTGACTGGTGGACATGGAACACGAGTGGGTTCTTCGATCTGTACATTTGTCAAATAATTGGATTTCTCTTCGACAAAGTTCTTCGAATTAGTTATTGGCGTATCCAACGAAGAGAATACGTCGACTTCTTCTGATTTACAAGAATTAGTAGTTGGCTGAGTGCTAGCCATGAGTTTCGAAAGAAACTTTTTTGATTTGGTTTTTAAATCTTCATGCAAACGTGGTAAATCAATATGATAATTAGTCACCTTAGTGTCAGTGCCAAGTTTCTTCTCCTGTTTCTTATTAGTTGATGATAACGAAGGATCAGTTGGCTTCTTCTCTTCGTCGTCTTCTTCATCCTCTTCATCGTCATCATCGTCTAACGATGATGATTCGTTCAATTGTTTCTTAGGAGTTGTTGACCATGCTTGAATGAAATAGAAAAGATATATCAAGTTTTGATTACCGAATGAAAACACTGAACTCACTTGACGTCGACTGATTATTATTTTGCAACAGGGCGGACGCAAAAGTAGGAACAGAAGTAGTATGAGGAAGATCCTCTTCTTCGTCATCATCGAGATCGATATCGTCATCAAAGTCACCATCTTCGAACTAGTTTTTTTTTCAAAAATATCATCTGAATTACGGAATTCAAGGAAATAACTTACATCTGCAGCATTGATCATTATACATCGATCTTTTGCTTCAAGCCATGCAGAATCGTCTGTAGAAACAAACAAAATTCTATGTTCATTCGTTCCTATCTAAAGTCTTACTTGTCCAACTATGAATGTCATTTTCATTCCAGACGCTGATTTCAAAATTCCAATTGGGATCTATCGGTTCATCGGTGAAAAATGCATCGTTATTATCCAATAGAGCTGAAAACTGCGCTTCTTTCTTCTCGTCCCAATCGAACGTTAATCTATCAAATTGTCCATCTTCCGGTGCCCAAGCAGCTCCCACACCTGTTTCTAATGCCACTGTTCGTCTCAATTGTTCTACTAAGATCAAACAATTGATACGGTAGAGCATACTCGGTAGCGCGATGATTCCTTGCCATAACTGTGCGTTAACTGGATGAATGATCACCAATTCGGGGATTAAGAAAACACCTTGATGGTGGTGATGATGTGACGTTCCATTGGTTTTCGTATGTTGATTAGGCCGATTGGCGTTTCGATTATTCGATGCTGTACTTGACTTCATCATTTTGAAATTCATGTACCGTGGGATCAGCTGATTGAGGCGATGAGACGTATGTGAAACGCATAACAATGGTTGACTTTTATTCGTTAGACGCAATTCGTATTTAATTTCGTAGTAAGACGAGAATGTATCATAGATCGTTGATATCGATGGAAATGGTGAGAGCGGGTTTTTGTTCGTATCAATCGAATTCACTACATAGTACTGTGGTTGTGTGGAACGACGGTACGATGGTAAAACAATACATGTTTGATTGAAATCATCGGCGTTGAACACGTAGGGATTGTCTAGTGTGTATTTTTGTAAATACATCGATTGAATGAAAGAAATGATATCTTTTGTTAATTTCCAATCGATGGAATATGAGCCCGAGGAGTCTTTTTTCAATAAAATGAGAATGAGATGAGAATGTGATTGTTCAGGATTGAAGTTCACTAATGGACGGTCAAAACCGAGTATGGAAGAAAATAAATAGTAGTGAACTGTTTGTAACATGCGGTACTCATCAGATGTGAAGCGAACATTTTTCATAATTCTATCGAGATTATAAGTTTCTTCGCCGGCACGAGAAAATAATGAAAATGCTGGAATCTAAAGAGAGAAAGCGTATATTCAGACAAACGCTAAATCCTTTGATTGCATTTTACTTCGAGAAGATAATTTGCAGAGAGAATACCAATTCGATTTGAATTTGATTGATTTGTATAGGTGTTTGTTAGCTTCTGTTGTTCATTGTGTTGAGTCAATGGTGTTGTCAATTCTCCATTGATACAATAGACAAAGAATTCAGATGACTTCTCAGTTGAGAGTGGTTCTGGCGCGATCTAATCAGTTCGAACATAGGATTTTCATCGAGAGAAGTCAATAAGAAAAGACATACGGCTTTATTGTAAAGTTGTTTACGCTGAACAGAACCTGGTTTCGGATTCGGATCAACATACGAACCCCATTCAGCGATATCTTCGTCATCAATAATCGAATGACGAAGATAAAATTGTTCACGAGTTTCGGGCAATAGATGTTCATTTAGTTCCCCTACATACCAAGATGAACATCAATTCAGTTCAACGAAGACAAACTAGATTTCGATTGCCTACCGGCTTGCAAAAGATGTTCACATAGACGTTTGGCTGTAGAGAGTTTTGCTTGTCGTACTGTTGAACGTATTGGACCCTAGAAAAAAAGCCAACAGTAGTTTAGATAGAACGGAGAATGGATAGTTTTTAAACATACGGTAATCGTCGTTCTAGCTGGTGAGTTGACAGGCAAGGAAAGAATGCATTGGTACTGCTTGTCATCGTATTTCTTGATTTTACATGATGGAACCAATGTTGTCAATGCATCACATGGAAGTCGAGCACAATATCTTCGAGAAGAGAACAGTTCAAAATGAACATGAAAAGAAATGTGTTTGAAGAAGGAAAATACCTGTTGATAACTTCGATCGCATTGGGTGATCGTTCTCGATCGATGTTGCTCGATGGGAGTGGATTATTGATTTCATGAAATTCTTTCATTAAAACCTGAAATCAAATCAAATGGCATCAACATTTGCAAGACAAATAGGATTCCGAATTACATACTTGTTCGATACCTTTAAATGAATTGAGATTGGCTAAGAACGTGTCATACTCTTCTTGTTCGGCAAGCATAAAGAAATGCGGCGTTTGTGCTCGTGCTTTGCCCTGCACAAAAATTCAACGATAGGTTTTCAATAACACCGGAAAAGAAAGATAAAATCATTTACTTTTGATTGCACGTAAGATCGGTAATTTGTTGGTACATTAAATCGAATAACTAAATTGCAATCAGGAATATCTTTCAATTCTTCGAGGGAACTCAAAGCAACTATAACATTATTTTCCCCAAGACGAAATTTGCGCATCACTTCCTCCTATGAACGAAAGCATTGAGCACTTCTTACTTCTTCTATTTCAAATAGGAATCCTACCTGTTTGCGACTGTCCATCGGTTGAATATGCTGACTAGTTGATGGATCATCTGTCGGTTGCATAGTGGAATATCCGACTAGAAAGTTAGGTCGAATAAATGAATACTCATCAGCAAAACGTTTTGCTGCATCTTTTAATATTGCATTTAAAACAGCGGTTTCTTGTTTGCGATCAACAAATATGAGTGCGGACCATCGACGATTTGATGCATTGGTTGCATCTGCTTGAAAGCGTTTTAGAATGTCAAACAATGAACGTAGCTTTGGTGTTGTATACTGTTCAATCAATGTCTGCGAATTTAATGCTTCCAGTGCAGTTTTGATTCGCGATCGCCAAAGACGAAGTAATGTACAAATCCAATCAAGAAATAGTGAATACGCACGCGGTGATGAAAGTGACAATTGAGATGTTGCGGAAGTCGAAAAGGCCGAAATAGATGAGACAGAACTTTGTTCAACAGCAATACTTGAAAGACGTTCTAATTGAGTAATAATTGGTAATGACGAACGAAGCAATGCCCAGATGCCTAATTTATCCACGAGACGTAAACATTCAGTCAGCACTTGCCGAGGAATCGTCAACGGCGATGAATTCTCGTCGGAATGAGTCGAAGAAGACACTGTCGGTGCTTCTAATTTGTTGATATATTCAAGAGCGGCTTGAAGTTCCTACAATCATGAATTGTGCGACAATCAAATAGAAGGACATTGCTTACCTGAATGATTTCTTTGGTAATTTCCGGCTGTTGGTGATTACCTTTTTCACAGACGACAATTGTTTCCTTTGGTATTTTCGATACTCGATTGGTTGGACGAGAAATCAGATCAGTTGCTGTAAAAATCGTTGAACTGTTCAAAAGATGACAACAACGAATTCATAGCACATTTAACGATTCAAAAACGTCCTCACCAAAAGAATTGATGTAAGTTCTCGATGCGTTCTTCCAACTGTATCGAAGTGCAATGCGTTTTGAGCAATGCCATCGTAATGGAAAACAGTCGAGGTAACTGATTTTTTGTTTCATTTCTCTCCCAAAGTGTTTTATACTGTCTCAAAATTGAACCATAGGCATGATCACGAATAGCTTGGTGACATTCGTCAAGAATCAATAACTTGATATGTGAAAATTCTAAATCATGAACGAACTAACTGCGAAACAAGTATAACAATTCGATGAGTTACTCACCTATATAATTTCGATTTAATAATTCGTGAAAGACAGCCGGATGCATAACAAATACGTTCCGTATTTGCATTTCTTGTAACCATTGATCTTTTTTCCAAAGTAGCACACCATGTTCAATACCAAATGAACCGACATCGACTGGCAAATGGCGATGAATCATTTCGGCCAGTGCGACCGGATCTTGTTCTGAATAGTAAGTACAAAATTAGTCGATTAAACTCTTTCAACATGCAATACTGTACCCATTGTTAAACAAATGATACGTTGACCGCCTTCGTCAAATTTTCGTTGAATGCCGTAGGAATATTCTCGTATAACATTAATGATAAGAAAATTCTTCGATGCGTTACTATGCAAACAGGCAACTGTATTTTCATGTTTGACTTTATCGAGAATTTCAACCTAAATAGACCAAACGATACTCTAACCATCTCGAAGCTTCAATTATTCATAGAAACGAAACATTGTTCATAACAACGATAACATCTATTTCGTTTTCCAACTGTCACATTAAGTATGAAATTGACTTACTTCATATTTCGGTAAAGTAAAACTTTCCGATGGCACATCATCTATCCATGGTGTATTTCGTATAGTTCGTCGTCCACTTGCTGCCAGTAGATAAGTTTTCACTTTGTCTATATGATTCGCTGATGACATTAGATTACACTCCAAGATAGTATGTTATGTATGTATATATCTGTATATTCAAACTAGAAGCAAGATAGAAAATGAAGAAAAAAAAACAACAATAATAACATTCTAGTTCCTTCCAATTCAATTTTCTTTCAAAGAGGAAAAAAGAAAAAAAATTCAAATGCTCATATAAGAATTTATACACAGAAAGAGGAAAAAAAGTCGATTTGGTTGTAGCAATTAAAAGTTTGATGGTGATTGATCATTGGTGAAGTTGCTTGTAGACGATGGAATGGCAAATATCTCATTCGAAATATCTTGTTGATGAACATGAACTGTCGGCGGCGGCGGTGGTGGTGGTGGTGGTGGTACTGGATGATGATGATAATAATGTGGAGAACTAGTTGCTGACACTGGTTCGTAATTAAGAATTTGTCGCTGCGCTTCGCGAATATATTGACTCTGCTTATAGTAGATTTTCGAAGTACCTTTTAGGACAATAAAGGCAATACCACCCTAGGAGAAGAACGATCACTTTTTTGTTTAAAACGTATTCAATTGACATACTAAGAGTGTGCGTTGAAAGTTTGAATGGACGCGTTGAAACATGAATTTACCAAAGATTGTTGCAATAGTTGGTAAGATGAGACCGCCACAAATAAGTCTGGTTAAAGATGCGGGATTTGAATTGCCATTACGTTCAGTTGGTATACGGGGTAAATAGGATGTGCGATCTAAAATAGTATAAAAGAGATGACGTTTCATCGAAATTCTATCGACTGTTTGTTTACCGTTGGGAAAAAAATAATTCATTAACGGTAATTTTGCTGAATGTTTACGCCAGAATTTCAAGACCGCTTCTTCCCAGCGTATCATTCGGCCGAGAATTAACACAATGGGAATTGTTGGTAGGCCAATAAGAAGAAAGAGTGGATCTGCTTTTTCCATTACACTCAAACCTTCTTTATGTCCAAGAATCTAAAATGACATGGAATTAATTCTTTTTAAAATTATTTTCTCCTTCGGTTCTTACTAACCTGCATGATTGTTACTGCTCCATAGGTCACTGCTGTCCAATAAACAGATCCAACGAGAATACCACCGGCAAGAAATGGACAAAAACGATTTAAAATGCGCTCTATCAAATCGAGCATGTAAACCAATGAACCTGGATATAGCAAATATCATTCATTGGACATTATCTTCATTGAATTTCACTCTATAGCTTACGTTGTTTCGGATATACAATAATATACTCTGAATTACACTGTGGACACGAAACTTTTACTAAACAAAGGAGAAAACATTGAAAATGTTTCATTTGAACACCGGAATGACTCACCACCACTCGATCCTTGTTGTTTCTCATCTACCCATCTTTGAAGGCATTCTTGATGAACCCATTTTGCTGTTCCACGGCAACGACATGGCGATACCCAACAAGCCGAATAGTCATCTTCGTCCGTAGCAAAGCATACCCAGCAATGTTTTCCTGGCAAAGCATTACGTGCTTGGGTATTGTTTGAGAGTGAATTTCGGTGTCCATTTGATGGTGGCGGTGGAGTTTGAGGAACAGTCGAATGATTTGTTGTCGGTACTACAGGTATACTCATGGGTTGATTCGATAAATCAGGTAATGAAGACGGATTCATAATCAATAAGATCTAGAAAACAATCAAATTGATTCTTTTCAAGAGAAGTTACGGTAATATGCGTTGGGAAATGTAGTACAGAGGGGAAAAGTAAACACATGAGACATGCTCTTTTTTTTCGTTGGCTATTAGTCAAACAATCCAATGTAAGCCAGTTGACTGCTTCTGACAGCCAGCTACTAATGCCATCTAGCTACAACAACTGCAAATGTGGTTCGACATTTTTTTTTTTGATTAGTATGAATAAAACAACATGGTATTTTATCAAATTTTCAGCTGTGTAGTCTATCAAGTGTTAAAAGTTCTAACTAGTTAGCGTTATCTTAAAAATATTTGAATAGAGAAGAAGCTGGTGCAAAGATAAAGCATTCACTCGATCTTTTACTACCCACCGACACAGTATAGAACAAATATGTTTGTTATCAATTTAAACGAGGACAAAACAAGAATACAAGTGAAAACCAACGCGGAGCAAAACTCGCAAATAATTGCTGAAGGACATGTTGCTGCTGATGTACCCGATCATACTGTATTGATTCTATTCGATCAAATCGCTCTATTACCCGATGATCATCAACAGATTGATCAACTTCTCTCAACTGTGAGCTCTTATGTTAGTGCTATATATCATTCATTGATATGTATCCGCTTTCCCCGCACATTCGATAATCAAATTCCATTCGACAAACTTGAATATCGCAACGAATGTCCGGACTTTATGAGTGTAAACACGGATGATTTAAAGTATTATCCTGAAAATAACTTCCAAGGTAGACAAGATCAGTATGAATTGGTGAGCGATCGAAACATAATACTTGGTTATGCCGAACAGTTACTGCAGCTCATGACTCGAGAGGCATTTTGGTCAGAGACCTGGAATTTGCAAGAAATGTGCGATCGAATCAACTCAGCAACAAATAATGCAATGATTTTAGACAAAATCAATCACATTCCCTGTGCATTTGGACGTCTATTCTTAGTGGAATCAAGCAATGAACAGTTTGGATACATGTCCGATATAGCTGTTGATAGTGCTCAGCAATCGAAAGGACTCGGACGAGTTCTAGTCAATTATCTCGTTGGAGTTGTTTACAATTCAGAAAAGCGGAACTCTACGCTGTGCTTGCAATGTGCTAAAGAAGGTAGTGGAGCAATATCTGCAACAAAATTATATCGCAGATCCGGCTTTGAATTCTTTCATATTCATGGCAATCGTATCGCTATTTTTCCGAAAAAGAAAGTGGCATCAGGACAGCGAAGTGCATAGATGTCAAAGTCAATAAAATAATCCGTTAGCAGCACTTTTCATCTTTTATTTTCTATTCGACTTCAGATAAAAGTAAAAATACACAAGAATTTTTATTTGTCAAACTCAATTACATAGTTGTTCGCTGATAAAAATTGTTAAAAGAAAAGGACGAAAGACATATACACAGCATAGACAAGAACTGTATCATCATTGACAAAAGAAGAAAAAGAACACATACACACATCGAAGGAAATTTTATTCATAGCAAATAGATATTAATGATTGAAATTGTTCGTGTTTGACATTGATATTTAATTGAATTAATCTTTCAGGACAGGACGAGTAGTGCTTGTCGTTGTGCCACCACCGCCAGCAGTATTTGGAATGCCTGAACCTGAAGTTGGCTGTTTGAAATTCGTAGCCGCTTGATATTGCAATTGATATGCCATTGAATGTATTTTAAAGCCGTAGAGACGAGCAACAAATTGATTTGTTGGTCGTTTTGGCCGATACTCTGGATGAACCATGAATAGCATGTGCGGAAAACCTGTGCTAAAATATGCTCCATCCGTATGATGATGACGTGAACTTCTCGGTGTGTAAACATCCAAACATTTCGGGCAATAGAGCTTGACCATCGCTTCGCCAGGTATTTCTGATAAGCCGATCTAGTATTAAAACGAAAATGCACATGTTTTCCGATTGATACAATCGAAAGTGTCATACTGGCAACATGGGTTGATTGTCGCAATAGATACGAGGACAGAGACCAAAATCGCCATTTTGAAATTTTTCTAGCATTTGAGCAATCCCGTTGTTAGTTAACACGTATCGAGCATGAATAAGACCTGTGATTACAAAGTAGATTTGATTATTCTAATGCCTGAGGGAAAAGAGCATTGGAAATTACCATATAACATTTCCGCAGCTTGTTCAATTAAATCTGATTGATTGGGATTATCTTGATTATCAAGTTCATCATCTGGTTCAAGATCAAGAATCATATCCAGTGCTTGTCGATAATGTGGAACTTGCTCATTCAGTCCTGTCTAGAAATAATCACATACGATTTCAAAGAATTTGATGTCTATATGAATTGACATACTAGATTGAATTTATCTTGAATGTATTCTTCATCGACTTCGCAGAAGAATTCATTTCCGCGCAGACCACAAAACCATGATATCCAAGAAACTTCTTCTGATGAACTCATGGAGCTTGATTTTGATTTGATACCTTCACCAACAGCAGGAACAGCAGCAGAAGAGGAAGACGACGGATGATCGTCTTTCAAAGCACTTTTTGCGTCAATCGAGGCCAGAACAATGACACAAAGAAACAAACCTGAAAAGCAAATGCAAGTTTATTCCGAAATAGATCGAGTTCAAAACAACGAATGAATATCGACGATCAGATGATTTTACCTCTTTACTAGCAAAAAAGCGATCGATTTCAAGTTATTTTTAGTAAGTTTTCTTAAGAAAAAAAAAATATCTAAAAAATCAAAGATATGTCAGCATAAATAAATAAATAACGTGTATGAAGAAAGAAATCTTTTTCTTTTTATATTAATATGTATATATAATTCTAAATAAGTGAATCCATAAAGAAAATCATCTGACAAACAAGAAACAAAAAGAAAGGCAACCGCTTTGAAAAAGAGCAACAAAAACTGATTGTCAACATTTCTATCGATTATCTGTTGTCGAAAACGATCAAAGCTACAATATATCTCCAAAATTTTCATTTCAAACATTAACCGGTGGTGTCAATTGTTTATCAACAATATAGAACTTGTCCTTATCACTCAAAAGTCCCCAAATAACAGCCGTAATTTCGCAGATCACCACAAATGGAATCGTTGCTAATGTTCCCAGAACACGAAGAGCGAATTGAGCATAGCCCAAACGCACCAATGAAAACGAACGAACGGCACCGATGATATACAAGTAAATATTGACCGCTCCAACATAACTTATTAAGAAATTTATTGACCAGTGTAATGGAATAGGACACAATGGTGTAAGAACAACATTCATCGATGTTAATGGTAATGTTATCCAAGAATAAAGTGCAATGCCTAAGCAAATACGAACACGAATAGGTAAGCGTTTATCATGAACGACAAGTAAGATTCCTTGTAACCATCGTTTGCGTTGTTTGATGAAGTCAGCTAGTGTAAATGGACTTTTTTCCCACATTTCACCTTCAATCCAACCGAATGTCTTGTTTTTCGACATGGCCAACATGGCAAAGTATGTATCTTCAGCAATTGAACCAGCTCGTCCGTTGTCAAATGTTACTTCGAATTCACAAGCAGCACGACAGACAACAAACGATCCTTTGAATAAGAATGGTGGTTGATGTAATTTCTTCAAACAGAATCGTAAACATCCTAAGTCGACACCAACACGCATACTATCGGCTAATGTTGTTATGTGATTAACAATGGTTTCATTCGCATAAGTGATTAAACCTTGTCCTATATCATATTCATTCGAAGTAACAAAATTTAAAATACCACGGACCGAATTTTCTGTTAACAGTGTTTCTTCATCCAAATGAACGATGTAATCATTTGCTGATAGTTGATTTACATCAGGTTCAAGCGCATATTGCAATGCACGTGATTTGTAGAGTGCACCTGATTTTGTTCGATAGGTACTCGGTACAACGACTTCACGGACCATATTTGCCGGCAAACCGTGAATATCGATTGGTTTATCGGTAACGATTTCAATCTGAAAATTGTCCAGTCCAACTTTGGCACAGGTGTCCAGATTTCTTTTGACATTGTTATGTACTAGTTCAGGATAATCACCACGCGTAACAACGCGTATCCGAATTTTCGGTCCTAGTAATGGTGAATTGTGTAACTCAGGTCGTTCGGGAAAGATATTATATAAAATCAAGCCACACGTATGACAAATAACTAATGGTAAAGGTAATAAAGATAACAAACGTATAAAATAAATCACAATGGTTAACAGTAACCCATAATGTTCAATCGGATTCGATATCAATACAATTAGATTGGATGACAGCTTATTAAATGGATATATATTCAATGCACCGGACATGCCTTCGAATACGGAAATAAATAGAATAAAAGAAATCACATGAATTATGTGGCGACGATTTGACGATGTATATATCATTATGAAGTTATCCAATAATAATCACACAAGAACAAATCTCTATAACCAAAAAGGAATATAATATGTATATAGGCACATGCAAATTTCGACTATATATGCGTTAGAATTCTAAGGTAACCAAAACAACTTCTTTTTGCAGTTTAAAATGCCAAAAGAAATGAAGAGAGAGAAACAGAAAGAAAGAAAAAATCTTCGTCATGAATTTTGTCATTGAAAAATGTCTCGCCTGACAACGCTTAAAAATATAAACAATTCCGTGTACATTAACACACTCCACGCAATGAATGTCGTTGCGCGAAGGGTTAATAATCAGAACTATGCGTGACAGTCATTTCGCGTACGTTTCTTTCTATGTCGACTAATCATATTATCAGAGACATTTATACAAAATATGCATTTGTTTTCTTTGACACATAGAAGAAATGCTCTAAGAAGAAAAAACATTATTTCGATGCTTTAAAATAGGACCCTCACAAAATTACAACAAGCTCTAGTATCTAATAGATGATCAATATTTGTCATCTATCTCTTACAAAGCTTCAAGGTTTATTTTGTAACGCAAGATATATATATTTAAATACATCCTCCGATCGAATTACACTGACACAAAAAAAACTATAAATTTATTTTCAATGAAGACTTCACTCTTATACATGCGCATTTTGATTGAAACTCAATCCGTAACGAATAACATGAGAAAATAATGGGACATAAACAGCGCGTGTGAATAAAAATATTTCTCAAATACTTTTGTTGACTGGAAATTGTTAGAAAGGATTAAATAGAAAAACAGAGATGATTCTTAAATAAAAGCGACAAGTATATGATGTTTATCATTCAAATAGAGTCAGAAAAAAAAAGAAAAGACGTAATGCAGAAGTCTTATCTATCCTTCGTTTTTTTTACGACAAAAAAAGCATCATTGACTTACCACATCTGCACTATTATTCCTTGATTGAATCAGACATCTTCTGAGTTGTATCACCGGACTAGAAGGAAAACAATCTGCAACAAGAAAACGATCTGATGTGAAGTTATTCAGTCTTCATTCAGTTCTTGATTTGACGAGAAAAAAAACAATAGTAGAAGATGAGACTCTTTCGTTGTTTAATCAGTTAGAGCAAACGAACAAAAGAAGAAAATCAACATGACCGAGTTTTACAGACGAACATTGTCTTTTTCAAGAAATATATTTATATACATTTACAAAAAAAGAGTGATAATGTCAATCTCGAAAAGACGACTCTTCTCTTATCGAGGTTCGGGCTTGTATTTTGGTGGTTTGAATAGAGCTGGCCCTTTGCCTTTGACTGAATCTTTCGATTTCGCTACTGTTTGGAACGATTTCCAACTGTTGACTCGTGTTTCTCGACTTTCCTAAAAAAAAGATATTTTCAAACGGATTCTTTTGATTTCGTATGCGAATGAAGTTGTACCTCATAGTTTTTATCCCATTCTTTACGTAGTTTTGTTCGTTCTTCGCGTTCAGTTGTTTCTTCCGCTTTGCGTTTTCGTTCTTCAGCTTTATTCGCTTCTTCTCGAACTCGTAATCGTTCGATATCGGCAAATAGCTTGCATGTCACTGACCACATTGCTTTTTTATGCTAAAATCAAAGTTGAACAGTGAAAATTCCGTCTGGTCAAAACGAATGACTTACTCCTTCGGGAGTGTCCTCTTCAATCGGTTGATTTTTATATTTCACACGCTTTTCTTGAATCTAAAATATATGTCGGCAAAAGAACGCATGATCAATTTGTGTCAATTACTCCCAGAACAAAGATTTATATAAATGGAAAATAGTTGACACTCACCCGATTTGCTGAATGATCGAAGAAAACAGTTCGTTGAGCAATGCATACTAGAAGGAGGGTAGAAACAGGACCTATCTACTCTGACGATGTCAAGTCTGAGTCTTGCTAATTTTACAGAGAGGAGGGATGAGTGTATATGTTTTCATGAAATACCAAACAAATTATAAGAGGGGATCTGAACGGTGAGGCAACAATTGATGACAAACTTACCATTTTATCTACACGTTCGCGAGCTTCCTCGATGACTTCGATACACTTTTTTCGCTCGGTTTCATCTTCGAGCATTTTATATGCTTTATTAACAGCTAAACGACAAGATTCTATTGCAGCTAGCTCAATGAAATCATAAACACATACCTTCAAATGCAACTGAAGCACGATCAGTCATCGTCGGATTTTTATCCGGATGGACGAGCATCGATAGCTAAATGGTAGGAGAAGTGAATTAATCAAGAAATGATTGAACAGGAAAAGCTGTGCTTACGCGTCGGTAATGTTTCGCAACTTCTTCGAACGGAGTACTTGGATCGATTTGAAGTACCTGTAAGACAACACAAGAATAATTTTTAATTAGATTCAGATAGAAATGATCTACTTCGAATGGATTTAGATTGAAATATGTAGCACCGGGACGAAGAAGTCGATTGATTTGTTGTTCAGGCGTTAAAACAGCATCACGTTTTTCAATCGCCTTAACCTATATGAATGAAAAAGCAATGTTTTATGATATTTTATTGGAAATCGGATTACTTCAGAATAAAATTGCTCAAATGTTTCATCTTCTGGTTTAGTAGTGGCTTTCAATTCTTCTTTCAAATCTGTCGTTGTCGCCGACTGTTTTGATGTCGATGGTTTTATCAAGAATGGTTCTTGTTTGATAGTTGTTTGAGTAGACGAGGCCATCGATTAAATCAAAGTTTTCTGAAATAAAACAAAACATGAGGTTCAATTCAAATGTACGAGCAAAAATAAAATTAATACATTAAGATCAATGAAGGAACAGACTACTGCATTTGTTTATCACAATAGCAGAAGACCAATGATTAGTGTGAAATTGTGCTTAGTGACATCTATTCGTCTTTCAACATGATTCAATATATTTCGACAAGATATTGCATTACATTTTCTTAATCATATAGTATGATGAATGATATTCAATTATGAATCAAATGTAATTATGAGTCGAAGAGGACGCTATATGTCTGTATCAATTAAAGATATTTCCGCGCACATTTGTATTTGCATCTCGAGAATGTATTTCTGTTATTTTCAACGTTCATCCTTGAAGATTAGGGTGAAAAACGTGCCATGTCGTATTTATTATTCCTATCATCAATTGTTTGTTGTTGCCAATGATGTTCACTGTTGACATTTAAAATGTGACAAAAGAAATCTGAAGTATTTGACTATTTATATCGACAATCACATAAACAAATCTTTCAATTGCTCGAATCTTGTCATTTCCTTCGCTAGTTTCACTTTTGTGCTACATCAATAAGATTTATTCGGAGTCTTTTATCGGTAACTAGGTATATTATTTTCCTCAATGTTCGTAGCTACAAAAAAAATCAGACTTGAATGATTAGAATGGAAAAAAGCGATTGTTATTGTGTCACTTGAAATCAGTTTTGTCGTTCTCATAGAGTTACATTCATTCGCTTGCAGCTAATTTTCAAATTGAATGCTTGCTCTTTTTCACACGTACAAAAGAAACTCATTTTATGAATTTAAAAGAGGACGCCACAAATATTTCTCTCGGAAAATCTTCACTCAAATAAGTCATACATACCGTGAGTATAGTACAGATTGTAAACGAAGTTTATCCAGGCGACATGCTTTGCATCATGTGTTAAACGTTGCTTAGCTATTCGATCGATTTTAAATTGAAAATGGCGATTCATCTTTGTTTTTCATAGTCAATATTTTCAGTACAAAATATTTGATCTGATTTCATTGAAGATTCAAATATGGTGATCAAAACTTTACCTATACCTTCAACAACAATTCCTGTCAATTCTCAACTAGGATCACGTAAACCATTGTTGCATAGTCAATCTGGTATGTAATGAGTTCCATTTCCGATTATAGTCATCACTTGTCTCCTAGTTTCATGTCCACCTGTGCGTCGTTTACCGGATGCCACGGCTCTTCGCGACATGTGCATTATAACAAAGAGCGATATGAATCGAATTTATGAGAATTTAAATCGACGTCAACGCGATAAAGACGCCATTCGACAGGAAATGGAACAGAAGAAAGAAATGCTTGAACGATCGACACAAATCACTAAAGATTGGCCAAATACTTTTGCTGTCAGTAGTTCTTAAAAAACTACGAGGAAAGTACCGATTATTGTTCTAGGGTGACCAAGAACGAAAATTACAGCGAAAGAAAATCCGTGAACGAGAAGAAGAAGAAAAGAGGCAATTGCTCGATCTGGAAGAAGAGAAATTAGCTGCAGAACGTCGTCGAGAGTATCTCGAAAAAGCAAAGCAAACGCGATACTATAACACTGACCGTATCCGAACATTTCATGTAAGATTGTTCTCCAGTGATATCTTATTAGGGGATTATTGCTCGATAGAGTTCTCTTTTGCTGACGGAAGTTTTAAAAGAACGTGAGATGCAAGTTGAAATGAAAAAACGTATGGAACAAATGCGTCAAACAAGTGATAACGACGAACTTAAACGTTTTCAAGAAGCTCAAGAACAATTTGACAAAACCGAACGAGAAAAAAACGCAAAAAGAGCAAAGTAAATTGATTTCTGAACAAAAAAAGGAACAACTAATATTACCTTTTTCAACCACAGAGAACGTGCTGATTTAGCTCAATACCATCTTACGCAGTCAGTATACCGTTCTATCTCTTGTCGCTCTGCTAATAATACATTTTTTAATAGAATAAATCGCCGTAAAACTCATTATATCCAAGAAAAACAAAGAGATCGACAAGAGGGCGATGAATATCGACGTTTAGCCGATAAGTCGCTTCTTGATTTCATTGAATCCATGCGTACGCGCAAACTCAAGCAAAAACAAACGAAAGAAATGTATGATAAAGCCATGGAACAAAAACAAAAAATTAAACAAATTGAACAAAAACTGGATGAAGTAGAGTATCATCTTTAAGTCATTCGATCTTCAAATGCAAGTCTTTTCCGTTGTATTATTAGGAAGAGGAAGACGACATTCGTACTTATGCAGAAGTCAAAATGCGAATTGCACGATTAAGACGCGAAAAAGAGATTGACCTTGAACAGTAGGGAATACGAATTGAATTTATGTTTAAGTGTTGACGTTTTGCTTGTCAATAGACAAAAACAAAATACACGCGACGAAACAATTGGTTACTTGGGTTCGTTATTGAAACGAGCTGAGGCCGATAATGAATCTCAAATTTATCGTGCTCAAGCCGAGAAAGATGCTAAGGCATATCGGGAAGAACAAGAGAAATATGAAAAACAACAACAAATGCTTGATTCGATAGAGAAGCATCGTTTGCAATCAGTAGGAAGACTATTTTGTCGCTTGAAAAAGTAAACACGATTGTTTTGTAATAGTTAAAACGACGTCAATTCGATCGTGGAATGGAAGAGCGTGAAGATGCTGAACTTCGTAGACGAAAAGCACAAGCGGATCATTTGTTCCGTTTATATCAAAAAGAAAAAGAAAAAGAACGCGAACAAAACATTCAATTACTCGGACAAATTCAACAAAGACAAGCGGTATTGAATAAACTCTCCTATCCGATGACTTCTTTCATGTCATTTAGTTAGAGAGATCGCAAGGAACGTGAGCGTGCTTTGAAAGAAAACGAAATACAAGAAATACAATTAGACAAACAAATGAATGAAGTCGAACGACAACAATATCTAGAATATACCGGACGGGTTATGTCATATCTGGAGGACAATGGTCGTGATATCCATCCAATGCAACGGGTACGTTCGGAAGTTCGTTTGTTAGCAAGAATTTTAAATGAATGAAATTATTTAGACTGTTGCTGAAGAAATGAAACGTTTTGATAACTTCAATCACAGTTCCAAGAAAACGGAAACACCACGAAACGGACAGGAGGAGAAAAAATCTAGCAGTCATGATAGACCTTCGCTGAATGACACCAAGAAGCATTTGGGTTTTCAATGGGAAATTCCTCAAAAATAAAAAAAACACAAACTTTGACTTTCTTAAGTATTTATCCAGTCCATAAAAATAAATATTTGTACACAAAAAAAGAGACATGCTATACGGTGATCGTTAAATCATTATATGAATCACGAGTTATGTCTAAGGTAAGATCGGCAGTGGGTAATAAACATTCTTCAGTAATATTTAACTTCGGACAATGTTTAAGAATCTGACTGACGAGAGCACCAGCAAATGTATAAGCAAATTTATGTCTTGCAGGACAGGAAATTGAGAAGGGTAAATAACATAGTTTTTGTTCATCAGTTAATTCTCGTTGAAAGCGTTCTGGGCGAAAATTCAACGCATCCGCTCCCCAGACAGTTTTATTACGGTGAATGTCTAAGACGCTGATGCATACTTGTTCATCTGTTTGTACATTTGTACGATAGATGTTTTTGGTTGGTGGATATAATCGTAGAGTCTCTTTCAATACCCATTCGAGTAAAAGTGGATGGGAGTTTGGTAAATTATTCAATTGAGTACGGAGTTCTTCTAGTAAATCTGGACGACGGAGTAGTTCTAGTAATGAATAGAATACAACACGCCACATTGTTTCCCATCCAGGAACAATGATGTTCAAAGGATTGGAGACCTTCTCGTCGAAGTCGTTCTTGGTTATTTTCAAAATATTATCCATGTGATCTGATAGAATAGTTTGCAGATGTTGCCAAAATTCTGATTGAGAAAAGTGATTCTTGTTAGCTGAAAAGAGTTCCTGCAAACGACGCCGAGCAGTCGTGTCAGTACGGTTCTTCCATAGGTGAATAATCAAATCGGGCAGTTCAGTAAGTAGATCTTCATTCACATTGATACCAAGAATGGTGCTTAGGAATGCGTCCAGTGTTACTTGTTTAACTAGTTTTGATAAAGGTAATTTGTTAGTGTTCGATTGTAATAATACTAAGCGATGGCCGATGCATGTTCCTATTGTGGAAACAAGTTCTTCGTATTTGTTCTGAGTACTCCATTGGAATAATGTATTTATCACCTTAATTTTGAACGCTTTGAGAAGAGATTCACTCTCGATTGTGAATGGATTAACAATGAATAAGGTATCGATAAGCCATCGGTTAGATTTATGTCTTCTGTAAATCGATGATTTCAGTATTTTGTGTGCTTGATGAGCATTTGTGATGATCTTCGTTCGTTCTACTTTAAACCAATTCAGATATATAGTGTAGCTGATGAGGACCAGGCCACCAACTATGACGATTTCACATATCATTTTGTATTTTGATTATCTTAGATAATCCGTAAAATATTGTCACGATATATAATCGTACCTACTGCGAAAAAACCCAAACGATAAGGGCCACTGATATTTATGCAATTCTGTTGTATGATATCATGAATTGACACACAGCGTCTTCATTCCAAGCGCACTTGGGTTTTTTCCCACAGATCACTTATAAAAGACATATGATTCACATGACACGTTGATTTTGATTTCAACATAAACACGTGGTCTGACGACTTGAGAAATGTCAATTTTTAAGAATAAAGATGTCTACCTATACTTCTGGTACGTTTTCATTAAATTCAGATTATCGTCGATCTTCTCACATTCTTTTTAAACGTACAATTCAAGCTATACATTTCCTGCAGCAAAAGTTACAGAGATTATATTGTGTGTATTCATACTAATTATCAAATTTAGGTCACTACCATGCAGCAAAATGTCAACGCACGTATTTAGACCTTACAGATTATCGTACATTCCTCGGGATGTTTTTGTAACGATTTCATTCTATCAATATGAGTGGACTGAGCCTTTAATAGCATTCAATGATCGATTGCTCTTCGTTTTCCTCGTCGTACTCATCATACAATCATTGGATTTTCTAGCAAAGTTATTTTATTTACTGTAATAGACACGAGCATTCAAGGAAAAGTAACATAAAAATAGATCAAGCTGATTCATCCAATCGAAGACGTGGCGGTGCATTTTTATATTTCGTCACTTCGTTCAATAGTTGTTTTAGTTCACTGGAATCGACATGTGACTTTCCCATTTGTAGAGCAATCAATTCATTCGTAGTTGCTAATCGTTCACCGGAATCTCGTTGTGTTTGTAAACGTCGACGATTTTGAAACCATATACGAATTTGTTCTTGGCTGATGCCAAGTTGTCGAGCAATGACATCTCGTTGAATAGCTAGAAGGAGAGTAGAGATCGTTTTCAGAAAGAAACAATCGTACATACCATTTGGATACGGTGTTCGTTTGAATAATTCATTCAAGATGTAACGATCTTTATTTGAATATTGCAATCGAGTGACTTTCGTTGATGAAGGTTGCGCTGATTTCGGTGGAGTAGAAATCTAAAGATAGAGATTACGAGATGATCGAAGTCGATAGACTATCTGCATGATTACCTGAGTCACTGTATGCATGTAAGGAGTGGCTGGTGGTGAAATTGGCTGTGAATAGTAATATGGTGTTGCTGGATAACAACATGGACAGTAAGATGCCGAAGGCGGTGTATTGAAATTCGTATACATGCATGGCATGGTTGCTGGTGATGATGGATAGCAGTTGAATGTATGAGCGTAAGAATCCATAATTATCGAAGACGATATATGGTTTGAAACAAGTGAAATTTCATGTTAATATCTAGTTGAAAAATATCTGTTTGTTTCTTTTCATTTCTGTGTCCTGATTAATAGGAATGTATTGATAAGTCTAATCAGAGATGTTCCTTTTGATGTTACGCAAATGAATAGACATTGAAGAACAAACGTGTCGTTCTCTTTTAATTCTTTCGTGTATGTTTAATCGATGGTTCAGAAACAAATCAGAATTAGCGTGGTGATGGTGATGGTTACCGAAGAGAATTAATTTATTTAACATAAATCAAAACTAATGATCTTCTCCAGAGGAATAAGTATCGATCGAAGAACAAAAGGAACTAGTTAACATAGTCTTGAATATGTCGAATTTTAAACATCGTATATTATCTGATGAGTTTGATGATCATTACATGAATTCTTAAAAACAGTATGGAGATGATTTCTCATTGCTATCGTTAAAGCTTGTCGATGAGCATTGGCTGCAGCTTGGTCGACTTCCATGTTGGAATTTAATATTTTAAAATGTTGAGTTATGATTTGATCTATTGCATGATAATGCGAATTCATATTTCGTTGATAAAAATTTTGCCGATCAGTTCTCGTACTGCTTTGTGTCGATCGATGCGGATGTTTCTTTCGTTGACAACTGTTCCGTGATGCTTGATTCCCCATATTTGATCTGTTCGAACGAAGAAAGTTCTGTTTTTCTTTATTACTCGTACTTTATCTTATGATTTCTATGTATGAAAGAATAAATGATCATATAAAGTACATCCGATCACACATTTGATTATCAAGAAAAAAAACCATCAAGGACATCAGACCATTAGTGAAGTCAGTGAATAGTCAATTAATATTTGGAGAGATATTTTTTTGTTAGATTCTTGTTTTTCTGTCATCCTGTATTATGATTGATCAACTATCTCGTTTTTAATTTCTTTTTCTTAATGACTAGTTACGTTTCTCAGGGATATGTACGAAAGCGAAGAAAAAACACCCAAACAGACGTAACGCTTATCAACATCAATAGAAAAATGATCACATTCGACTGGAGTTTAATTTGCCTATTAAATATTTACGATTGATATTACATACGAATGAGTGTAGCAAATGTTCAACAATCAAGGTTAATAGATAGGGAAAAAAACCGAAGAACGATCAGTACGAGATTTTAATTGAAAAAGTGAAATTTCTTTTTTAATTGAGTTTTTATTTCAATGTGAAAAGAAAATGAGTAAGTATTATGTATAGAAATGCAATTGAACAGGAAACATTGAAAGTTTCTGGAATATTCCATTTAAGAAACGTTCATGGTCGTCCACGTGGAGCTACGGTGGCTGGTTCACTGTCCCGTGTCGGTGGTGCTACTGGTTCTGTAGCACGAGCACGATTGGGATTAGTACCACCCGTTTGCGCGGCATCATTTTGACCGGATTTTGATGCTGGAGATGATGAACTTGATAGGTTACCCGATGGCGCCTTATGGTCATGTTTACGTTTATGAAAACGTGATTTAAGATTTCCCATTATATATAATAATTGAAACTTTGAACAATCTGTAACAAACAAATCACAATAGAGATTAAACAATGTAATGAAGAAAAGCTTCTAGTATTTTGTCGATTTCCTCAAATGTACGAATTGACTGACACTTATCTGTATAAATATCAACTTCAGCATTATAGTTTGATCAATAAATGAGAAATATATCCGTTTACGCTTGACGTATTCTCATTCTATATTTCGGCCTTTTATTATATTATATGTGATCATTATTTACAACTGGTTTCATCTATTCTTATGTTTTCGTTTTCACTAACGACTCAGATGTCACACGAGCAGATAAAAACGATCGCCGTTTAGCAATATCACAAACCTGTATGCATGACAAAAGAGGGACAGAAAAATAAATGAGAATGGCTAACCTTGAATGAATAACAACAACATTGTTTTTTTTGCTCCTTAAGACCTGTTGGGCTGTACTTTTTTTGTCAAAAAGTACGCCAAGATTTTTTACCATTACTAATCAGATAGGAAGTAAATTATCAATCGTCGCCGATCACTCCGTATTCATTTATCTGATACTTCGAGATGTGAGATTCTACTCGATCTTCCAGGTCAAAATCTCGATAATGAAATAAAAAATGATCAAATAGATAGACAAAACGCTCCGTAATTATATTACTTATCAGTTATTTTCCGACGTGTGTCACTGTGCATAGTCTATAAATAACTTGAAGAAAAAGAGCAATCGTTAACTATTGACATAACATCGATCGATAGACACAGATGAACAGCAAAATAGTATATTTTCACAATCTCATCGAAGCTAACCAAGAACACAAATCTAAGTGAAATAAACTCATCGAGAGATGGTTATCGGTTGAAAAATGTCAACGTCTAGCGCCATCTTACAGATTGCTTTCATCTAACATAATCATTTGTGCTTAAAATTCAATCAATGAGAAGGGAGTGTACAACAGATGCATAGATGCAAGTATGGTTGACGTAGTAACTTTCGGGGATAGTTGAATGCAACACCATCGTATCATTTTCTCGAGACATTAGATATAAGAGAACTTGCTATTCTTCCAAAAATGAGGTGCCGGCTAAGTCATGCACTGCGGTTGGTCATTGCACTTGCATTTCTTGTCTTCATGGTTCCGTTTCTTATGTCGAAACTTGATTCAAATAGTAGTCAATCAGAGATTTCAAATCAAGATGAAGTTTTATCCCATGTAAGTACACGTTACGTTGCATAGACATTTGTTCATAGTTGCTTTCTTTTTCTAGCGACTGGCCCAAAAAATAGAACCCTCGAATAATGCTGATAAAGCGGCGGAACCACACGGTTTACAACCGAGAATGAGTGATTCTTTAGGAAATTATGAACCTAGAGATCAACCAACACGAACCGGTCCGGGCGAAGGAGGTAAAGTTTGGAATAAGCCTACAAATGACTAGTTGATCTTTCTTCCGACAGGAGTTCCTGTCATCCTATCACCAGCTGAAGAGCAGGCAGCACAAAAAACAATTAGTCAATATGGCTTTAATATGATAGCATCTGATAAAATATCTATGGATCGAAGCATCAAAGACACAAGACCCGCCGAGTAAGCTCATTATTCGATTGGTATTGAATTTAACTTCTTGATTCTCTTTAGATGTAAAAATTGGATATATCCAGAACCAAGATATTTACCGAAAGCTTCGGTCATTCTGGTTTTCTTTGATGAAGGTTGGAGTGTTCTACTACGTACTGTGCATAGTGTTATCAACACATCACCCAAAGAATTACTAAAAGATATCATTCTAATCGATGATGGCAGCAGTGATCGTATGTGATAGTTATTTACTTGCCTAACAGAAATTATCACATGAGATCTCTTATTTTAGCTGATTCGAAAGAACGATTAGAGAAATACATCGAACGTTGGAATGGTCTCGTCAAATTGTATCGAACAGGAGAACGAGTTGGATTGATCGCAGCTCGTACACTTGGTGCAGAAAAGTCAACTGGTGATGTAATCGTCATTCTTGATGCTCATTGTGAATGTGTATGTTAATCAGATGTTATAAATCTTTTTTGAAGAGTTTCTTTCTTTATCTTTTCAGGTAACAAACTGGCTTCCACCATTATTGACGCGTATTGCAATGAATCGTAGAGCATTAGCTGTGCCAATTGTTGATGGCCTTGAATGGAAAACATTAGAACATACAAATATTTACGGTTCATCCAATTTTCGAGGCATATGGGAGTGGGGATTTTTATACAAAGAAACTGAAGTGCCTGCACAAGAACTGAAGAAAAGAAAACATCAATCAGAACCATATTGGTACAGTCCAATAGAATTGGATTTGTTAGAATAAATGCTAAAACCGGTTTTTCTAGGTCACCAACTCATGCAGGTGGCTTACTAGCCATCGATCGTCAATGGTTCTTTGAACTAGGTGCTTATGATCCTGGCATTCGCGTATGGGGTGCTGAGCAATATGAATTATCGTTCAAAGTCTGGCAATGTGGTGGTGTCGTCGAATGGGTACCGTGCTCTCATGTTGCACACGCCTACCGCGGCCCACGAAGTCACTCCTCGCATGTACCTGGCACAAGTCCATACCAAACATCTATTAATCACATGCGTTTAGCTGAAGTTTGGATGGATGAATACGCGGAATATTATTATATTCGCGAACCGGCGATTCGGTCATTGAACTATGGCGATGTATCCGAAAGAAAGAAATTAAGAGAAAAATTGCAATGTAAACCATTCAAGTGGTTTATGGAAAATGTCGCTTATGATGTTTTGCAAAAGTTTCCACCACCACCGAAAAATGTTGTTTGGGGAGAAGTAGGTCGAGAGATACTTGTTTCTCAAACGAAAAATTACTCTTTTAGTGCAAAAATATCAAACATTCCGTTTGTCTGAATGATCGAGGTGCTTCATTTGGGCAACCGATCGGTGTTAGTGGATGTTACCGACAAGTAAGATCTTTCTCTTCCTCTTCTTGAACAATCAACTCATTCTATTGCTAAGCGTGATGACTAAGCACTGTGTTCTATATCTTTGTATTTGATTTACAGAATTCATCGAAATTTAGGAAACAAAAAGCGTCTTTAGTCGGTATTAAAGTTCCTTTCATCCCCTTCCTAAGCACAAATCTATTTGTTCTGGTGAATCGTTTATGACTAAGCGTGTATTTATTTTTCTTTTTATTTGAAATTCTAAAGGTCTGTTTGTTAGATAGCGTACACAAATATTCTTTGAAGTTAGCCTTGTCAGTATGTTGACAATTAGTTATAGGAAAAGAAATCCATCAATATTTGCAGGAAGATTAACTAGAAGGCAACAAGTAATTTTTGCGTCTGCTAATCTTACCAATCTGAATTAACACACGTATTTAAGTAGAGAAGTCTGAGAAAGAAATGAAAAATAATGGGTGTAAACATGATTATGCTTGAAAAACATTGTTATTCTGATAGAAATACGAACGTAATTTCACGTTTGATTTTAAAAAAACTCTTTAGGGTGTGTGGCGTCTGAACGAAGAAGGCGAAATCTCATCCGGTGAGCATTGTTTCATATCCGATCATGACATAATCAAGAAAAAGTTCTGTCTGGATCATAATGGCCGATGGAATCCTGTAGGCGAATGGCACTATGATAAAGTAATTTAACAGAGTCATCGAATCCTGATTTTTAGAGTTTGATTTAGGCAACCAAACAAATTCGAAGCAATAAAGAACATCTATGTATGGAAACAAATGGCAATGATTTGAAACTTAATAAATGTGACGAAGCGAATGAAGCACAGAAGTGGATTTGGACGGAAATTCATTATTGAGAGGTCTTTAAATTTTTTTTTCTTACAAAGATTTGTTCGATACTTGTCTTCTTTGTTATCTAATTTGTTGAGTTATTATTATTGTTTTTCTTTCTTATTCGATATATTCTTTACTAAAAAACAAAAACAAAGAAAAGACTTAAGCGCTAGTTCGCTTCATCTTTCTATTGGTCAAGTTAAACTTACTATCGTTATCTCTTACTTTTATTCCTTTTATTTCATATAAGAAAATGAACTCCTATCTTGCATATTCATTCAAGTCGTGTTTGTTTATTTTGACTTTTTAAGATGTCAATACTTTTCATGAATTTTCCTCGCTATAATTTTTTTATTCGCAGGGTATGTCGTATAGAATTCTATGACGTTATTTCCATTCATTTTCAGATGACATCTTTAGCGAGTTCCGTGTCAAAGAATGTCGATGGATTTCTTCAATTCATCAACAAAAGTCCAACTGCATTCCATTGTAAGTATTCTCTCGGCTGAGCAGCCGGCTTTATTCGAATCAATGCATTTAATATCTTTGAGGTGTCGATCTCGTGAAGAAAACATTAACTTCATCCGGTTTCAAGGAATTGCGAGAAAATGAACAATGGAATATTGAACCGATGGGAAAAGTGAGCGAACAGCGAGAATGAGAAGAGTCACAACGTGTTTTCTTGTAGTATTTCGTTATTAAAAATGGCTCATGCATTGCAGCATTTGCTGTCGGTGGAAAATATCAAAATGGAAACGGATTTGCTTTGACAGCCACGCATACAGATTCACCTCATCTACGCGTATGTCATTCGAACATCGTTTTTGTTAATTAAAACTTGAGAAATACACATCATTGGCATTATGTAGGTCAAACCGGTTTCGAAGCGTGACGCATGTGATTATTTACAAGTTAATGTTGAATGTTATGGAGGTGGGATTTGGCATACTTGGTTTGATCGGGATTTGACACTAGCGGGACGTGTTTTCTATCGAGTTCGTTCTAAGATGTCTTTTTGGATTATTAATGTTGATTTTTTTTAAATCTAGAAAAGTACCGATAAAATTTGTCAACATCTGGTGCATATTAAGCGGCCGATACTTCGTGTGCCAACCATTGCTATCCATCTTAAGCGTGATACAAATGAAAAATTAGAAATTAACAAACAGGATCATTTGTACGAGCATCGTTTTCTCTCGCTAATTTTGTGTTTGAAAATCTTTCTTTAGACAAGCTGTTCTATCGTTGAAAACTGAAGAAGAATTGAATAAATCGTGTAAAAAAGAAGAACCTTGTGAAGGCAACAAAGTTTCAACTGATGAAGTATGTTCTTTACTTTGATTTACTTTACCTTCGTTAAGAAAAAAACATTTGTTTAGTCAAAAAAACATCATAGTCAATTACTGGAATTACTTGCCGAAGAATGTCAATGTGCAGCCGGTGATATTATCAACTTCGATTTGATCCTTGCCGATACTCAACCATCATGTGTTGGCGGTTTACGAAATGAATTCATCTATTCAGGTCGATTGGATAATCAAATGAGTGCTTATTGTGCTATTCAAG